AGGAGTTAATCAAAAAGTAATTACGATTAATAACTTAATCAACCAATAATATAAAATTAGAGCTATTAATAAATTCAAATTTGAATTACTAATATCTTATAATAAATTAATAATAACCACTTGACCAATCTAATAAAGTATAATAATTGTTTAATAAGAAACAATAAAATAATCTAAAATAAAATGAGTCTTATTGAAAGCGACTCATTATATAATTTATTCCAAACTCAAGATCTAGGTATTGACTTTACCTCGAGTATTGTTCCTGATAGTCCAAATAAATTTGGGAAAAAAAATAATAACAATTTTAATACTTACCAACAACAACAATTGCAACAACAACAACAACAATTACAACAACAACAGCAACAACAACAACAAATTCAAAATAAACAATCAAACATAATATATAATAATAGTAATAATACAAACCAACAGGTTTTTATAAATAATAATCAAAATGAAGAATTATTTTCAATATTTTTACAACCTGAAAAAGAAAACGATTTAAATAATAATAATTCAAATGACAATGTAAATAATATTATGCATAACCATCAACAACAACAACAACAACAACAACATCACCAACAACCACAACAGTTTAGTAAGTATTAATAATATATTAAAAATTAAATTTATTTATTTAAAAATATAATTATACTAATTTATTATTTGTTAAAAAAAAAAATTAGATATTTATTCTAATGGTATCGTACCAAATCAAGACCAAATTAAAAAAATGGATTTTATGAATAATGACCAAATGAAACAAAACCACTATAACATTGTCCCTGAATCAGTATTTGATGTCCCATTTGGAATCTCATCTCAACCAATGTTAAATATGCAACAACAACAACAAAATAACCAAAAAATGAATTTTAAACAACCAATACAACCAAATCAAACATTAATTCCTATTCCACCAAACAATTTAAATAATCCACAAGTTTCTATTTTACAAAATCAAATCCCCCAACATAATATAAACAACAATACAAATAACAATCAAAATACAACTACAACAAATAATAATAACAACAATAACAATAATAAAAAGAAAGAAGAAGATAAATCAATTAAAAAGAGAAAATTCATTAGCTCAACACCAGTTAAAGGTGAAAATGGTACAACTTTAATTCCAACAACTGATGGAAGCTTTAATATGGACGAAGAAAGACATATGAAAAGACAAAGAAGGTTAGTTAAAAACAGAGAGGCTGCTCAATTGTTTAGACAAAGACAAAAAGCCTATATCCAAGATTTAGAGAAAAAAGTTTCCGATCTTACTGGTACCAATAGTGAATTTAGAGCCCGTGTCGAATTACTAAACTCTGAAAATAAACTAATTCGTGAACAATTGTTATATTTAAGAAACTTTGTAACTCAAGCAGTATCATTTTCATTCCCTAAAGGTGCCCCAGGAAGCAACAGTCCAACCGGTGCAGCAGATCAATTCCTTAATAGTATTCTCCCACCCGGGGATTAAACTCTCCATTACCCCAAGGAATATTACCAGCCGGTATGAATTTACAAACCCAATGATAATGAGTGCAATTGCTGAAGCCGCCTCTAAAAACTCCACTTTTAGACAAAATATACAAAGCAATCTATTAGGTACCCCAATCCCATCTCCACAATCATCATTATCAAGTAATTCAGGTAACAATAGCCCAACTAAACAAAACAACCCTTCATCACCAAATAATAATAATAACAATAACAATAATAATAATAATACAATGAATACAAATACACAAAATAATAACAATAATATTTCACCTGCCTCATCTTCACTCCATCAAGTACCATATTTAAATACGCCACCACAAGCCTCTAATAACTGTTCCCCAAATCAAAGATAAAATTAAAAATTGTTTAATTATATATAAAAAAAATATTGTAAATTCGAATCATAAAATCGCAAAAAAAAAAAAAAAAAACATTTAAAATATAAAAAAAAAACTTTTTAAATAAATCTATCATTTAAAAATATATTTCTATTTATTATACAACTTATTTACAATTTATTTTATTTGATTCTATTTATTGATGTTCCTATGTATCCAACGAGACTGAAAGTTCTACTAATTTTGAAACATTATCTATTTTCGAATTGATTTTTTGAATTAATAAATTTTTTTGTTTTTCTAAATCTTCAACCTGTTTTTTTGATTTATTGTTTTCATTTAATAACTAAAAAAAAGAGCATTAATAACAAAATAATAAATCTATTTTAGTATTTTAAAATATATTACATTTTGATAAATTGATAATAATCTTCCTTTTTCTTGAAGCTTTAATTCCGAAATTTGTGTTTTAATTTGTTCCTCTGGATTTACCACACAAAATGGTGGTGCCCTTTTACCATTTTGCAAAAGTGGCTGCTCTCTATGTAACTGTTCTAATTCGCTTAATTTTATTGAAATCTGTCTTTCTTTGCATATTAATTGAAAATCGCTCTATATATAGAAAAAAAGGAAGTTAATAAAAATAAAAGATTATGAATAAGATATTTACTAGTTTATTTACTTTTATTCTTTCTGATAGAGTTGGGAAAACATTTGAATAAATATATGATAAAAATGATTTTGTATCCAAGTGTTTATTTAAATCTGAATAGCATTCGAAAAACTTTTGGAATGGTATTTCTGATAATGATTTTTCTATTATCATATCATGAAATAATTTTAATTTTATCATTTTTATTCCTTCTCTTTCTCCTGAAACAAACTGAGCTATTTCCTCATCACTTAATTCTAAATTTAATAGTGATAACTCATTCATTTTATTTTATTTAATAACTATTTGTTTATTATCAATTATTGTTTTTAATTATTATGTTATTTATTTTTAAAAATTCATAAATAAAAAAAAATAAAAAAAAAAAAGCGCAAAATTCCCAAATTTTTTATTTTTTATTTTTTTTATTTTTTTTTTTTTATCATTTTTATTAAAATTAATTCTAATAATTTTAATCACAAAATGTCACACGAAAGAAATAAAATAAATGATTATAATAATATAGAATATGAAGAGGGTATGATTTCCCAAGACAACTACCAAGATATAAGAGAAAGAAACAAACAAAGAGAATTAGAAAAAATTGAAAAAGAAAAAGAACAAAACGAATATAGAAATAACGGATATAATAGAAGAGATAAAGAGAGAAGAGATTATAGAGATCACAACAGTGAGAGGGATAGAAGGGACCACAGGGATTATAGAGATGGTGGCAGAGATAGAGATGGTGGCAGAGATAGAGATAGAGAAAGAGGTGGTAGAGATCATGATGGTGGTAGAGACAGAGATAGAGACTACAGGGACAGTGGTAGAGATATAAGAGATAATAGAGATAATAGAGATAATAGAGATAATAGAGATAATAGAGATAATAGAGATCATAGAGATCATAGAGAGGGTAGAGAAAAAGATAGAAGAGTGGATGATAGAGATTATAGAGGCAAAAGGTCATCAAGATCCAGATCAAGATCAAATAGTAGAGAAAAGAAAAGACAAAGAGACAGTAGGAGTAGAAGCAGAGATAGAGACCAAAACAAAGATAATAAATCTAACAAAAATAACACCACTAACAAAAATGATAAAAAATCCAATAATAAAATAAAAGAAGAAGAAATTGATGATGGTCTAGATGAAGAAACTAGAGAAATGATGAAAAGTATGGGTATACCAGTTACATTTAATTCAACCAAAGGTAAAAAAGTCGAAGGCAACTCCCAAGGTGGTATGAAAGTACAATTTAAAAGAGAATTTAGACAATTTATGAATAAAAAGTAAGTATTATATATGTGTTAAAAAAAAAAAAAAAAAAAAAAAAAAAAAAAAAAAAAAAACCCCCCATTTCCTTTTTTAAAATCCTTAAATTTTTTAAAAAAAGGAAAATAGATTTATACCACATAGCATTTAAAATCCAAACAAATAAATAAAAATATGTATAAAATAAAATAGTTTTTTTTTAAAAAAAATGATTTACATTAAATAAGATAAATTCTATTTATTTATTTTTTTTTTTGAAAATTAAAAAAAATTTTATTTCTTTCTTCCTTTTTTTTATTTCTTTTTCCTTTTTTTTTTTTCCTTTTAAAAAAAAAAAATAGTTTGATTCTTTTGATATTTTAATATTTACAATTGGTATTATTAGTGGATTTTATTGGTTTTTTTTCTAAATTTTTTGAGAGGCAAGAGTTGGTGAAGCGGAGATTTTATTAATATATTGGCTATAAGTTTCAATATTTCTACGGAGTATATTTTCGCATGGACCCAAAATTCTATTAAAACGTTGTCTATCCATTTCGACACATTTTGTATTACCTACCGAAGTTACAGTTGCCGCTCTAGGTCTATTTGTTAACAATGCAATCTCACCAAAATAATCCGAAGACTTTAATTCTGAAACAACCTGGGTGGTTGATGGATCGCCTGGGGTCGTTTCTTGTGTAACTTTAACTTTACCATCTACGATTATATAAAATTTATCACCTGGCTCCCCCTGACGAACGATTACTTCACCATCATGAAAAGAACATGGTTCTAATGCATCTGCCAATGATACTCTTTCATATTTGTCAATATGACGAAGTATTGATACCTTTTCTAAAAACTCTTCATATAGTCTTCTTTTTCTAATTGTTTGGTCCATTAAAATACGTCTATATGTTGATCCATTTAATGCCCATAATCTGACATCAGTTCTTGCCTAAATAAAGAAATAATTATTATAAAAAAACAATTAATATTTTAAATAAATTAAACCACCAAAATTAAATGTTTATAAATCTTACAATAACAGTTGCAGCTCTTGGACTACCATAAATTAAAGCGAGTTCACCAAAACTACCACCTTCAAAAACCTCCATAACCAATGTAGGGGTGGAACCATTTGTACTAACATAAATATCGCAAATTCCTTTATCAACTACATAAAAAAGATCACCTTCGTCACCTTGTTTAATAATTATATCACCAGCTTTATAAAGTGCCTCGTCCATTGCTGAATAAATGGTATTTCTTTCCTCTTCTTCTAAATGGTTAAACATAATATTCTTTGAAAGGGCTTGTTCTAAACGTTTTTGTGTCTCAGCAGTTTTTGGAATTAATGGAAGTGGGGTTGCTGGTTGATCCCCTAATGGCTCGCTACTTATTGCTCCTCTTCTTTTTCTTGTAATGTTTGAACTCATATATTGCTGGTTTTGTGTTGGTGAGTTATTTTCAACTTTTTCAGTTGCTTTTTGATTATGATGTGTTATGTTCGTCATTTTATTTATTAAAACTATTTTATTTATTTATATGTTGTGTATTTTATTTTTATTTATTAAACTAATAATTTTTTTTTTTTTTTGATATTGAGTTTTTTTTATCAAATAAATTTTTTATTTTTTTCCTAATAAAGATAATATTATTTTAAACCAACCTAAATAAAAAAATTTTATAAATGAGTGAATAAATTATTATTTAGATACTAAAAAAGTAAAATTTCCTATCTTTAAATTATATATATACTTTTAAAATGTATATTTTTGTATATTTAACCAAATAAATAATTATATTTATATTATTAATATAAATGTGTTAAGAAATTATAATTTGAAAAAAAAAAATTCTATTAATCTATAATTTTTTATTTTATACATTAAAATAAAAATAATAAATTATATTTAATTTATTATAATAATAAAAATTAAAATTAAAAAAAAATTAAAAAAAAAAGAAATAAATTAATATGGAATATATTGAAAAATAAATTAAAAAAAAAAAATTTTAAAAAATTTAAAAAAAAAATTAAATTTGGAAAATAATTACCTTTTGATGCAATTTTTCTTTATTTTTTTGCCTAAAAATAAATTTTTTTATAATCTAAAAATGTATTATGTGCAATTTTTTTTTTACTAATAATATTTATAAAATTGAGATATACTATTTTTCTTTTTTACTAAAAAAAAAATGATGAAAAGTTATTATTTGATAAATAAAAAATTTTAATTTATTTATAATAAAAAAAATGATTATAAAAAAATAAATTTAAAAAAAAAAAAAAAAAAAAAAAAAAGAAAAAAAGGAAAAGATATAATTTTAAAATAAACTGTATTTATGTTATATATATTTGAAAATTTTTAGTAAAATTTTAATATCTATATGATATGATGATTTAAATTGGTTATAATGTTGCGATTCTGATTTAATTGTTGATTATAAATATAATTAATAAATATATAAAAATATTTTATTACTAAATATTATTTTATTTGTGTTTTGCTTTATTATTCATAAAAAAAAAAATAAAAAAAATAAAAAAATAAAAATAAAATAAATAATTATAAATAAAAACAAAATTAGGTGTTATTTAAAATTATAATAATAAAAAAAAAAAAATTATTTAATATATATAATCATAATATTATACATTAAATTTAAAAAAAAAATTGTAAATTGTATTTTTTTTTTTTTATTTTTTTTTTTTAAAGTTATTTTTCTCTATATGGTGATCAATTGTATATTTTTTTTTTAAATCCAACCACATACTCTTATCGTTGCCTCGCTCCTTATAAATTAATATATAAATAACATTACTCACCACTTAAAAACAACCACTACATTCACACACCCACATTAATGTATTTATTATTTTTCACACAACCACACATTAATATACTAGTAAATTAAATTAAATAATAAAAAAAATAAATATAATAATTAGTGTTGGTGTTATTATTATCTAAAAAGTTAATAATAGATTATTGTGTTAAAGCTTATTGATTTTCATTTTTATTATATAGTTATTTTATAATAAAATGTGTTTGTTATTTATTCTTTTTTTATCATTAATATATTAATAAATTAATAATAAAAATATAATTAATTTTAATTGGTAGTTATAATTAGAAATATCTTAATATTGTTGTTGGTACTAAAATGAATAGTATTGACTTTCTATGAGTGAAAAATAAAAATAAAAAATAATTGTTTTTTGATTCCCATTTTTCATCATAAAAATGGGGTTATATTTGTGTTTTTATTTTTTTGGTGTTATAATAAATTGGAATAGTTATTTGTATTTATATTATAGGAGTTTGAAGGGTTGTCATTTAAAATAAAAGAAAACTGGTGATTGTGTGAATTTGAATTTTTATGTGCAGGTGAGATTTATAAATATGTGGTGGTTTATTTTTAAAATTAGTTTTAATAACCTATTATTAAGTATCAATCAAAATAATAGTAACTATTATTAAAAATGAAAATTCTTTGAATTTTATTGAATTTGTTTTGTTTAATAAAAAAAAAAATTATTATAAAATTAAAATTATATTTGATTTTATTTAAATAATTGATTAATTTCTTTAATTAAAATTTGATTTAATTGTGATGAGGAAGATTTAATATCAAATGAGATATTACCTTCTTTTTCTTTAACTAACATTGCAATATGTTGATCACGATTAGTTTTAGAGTAGAATGAAGCAGTTTGACCATTTGGATGGGCTTGAACAACCTCGATGAATAATTGTGATGAAAGCTTTTCAATAACTTTTGGCATAACTAGTTGAAGACCATTAACTTTGGTAGAATCCATTTGACTGAGTTCACCTTTTTGAAGAATTTCTGCAAATTTATCTTTTGGAAGTTTGGTTGAAACAATAAAGAATGAAAATGGAATATTAATTGAAAGAGTTTTATTGATTGCTGGTGATGATGATGGAGTGGCATTGATTTCAAATGTAATGTCTTGAGTTCCTAAAATATTAATAACTGAAATAATTTGGGTATAACTTGTGGATGCATCAGCTTCTAAAATACCAATTTCACCACTATTTTTAATTGATGTAATATTTGCACTATTGAGTTTGAATGAAATTGAAACGTCAGACATATCTTCATCAGTTTTATTTTGTAATTTCATTGCAATTTTGAATTGATTTTCTTGATCTGCAACTTTACTAACTTCATAAGCTAATTTAAGATTTTCATCGTCAAGAATAGTTTTGAATACTGGTACAACTTTTTTAACTACTGGAGCAGGGGCAGCTGGTTTAGAAGTTTTCTTTTCTGGTGTTGTTTCTGGTTTGGAGGCAGCTGAAGATTTTTTAGTTTTCTTTGCTCCATCGGCAGAAGCAGCAGCTTTTTTACCTTTTTTACCAGATGGCATTTCTGGTGATGTTACTTCAGAGTATGATGAATTTTTACCAGATTGCTTAGCACTTTTTTTAGCTAATAATGCCATTTCCTTTTCTTTGTCTCTTTGGATATCAGTACGATGTCTATTGGTATGAAGAACATCACTTGCAGTAAGTGGTTCAGAAAGATTAATTTGACTAAGAGCATCTTTTGGACGATTCTTTTCTTTTTCATCTTCTGAATCAGAGTCTTTGGCACCCTCTGGCATTTCTGTGGTAGTGTCAATAGTGAAATGTTTTTTGGGTTTTTTACCCTTCTTTTGTGCATCGAGTTTATTACCAACTTGTAAGTGTCCAAAATCACCCGAGGATAATTGAACGACTGGTGGATAACCTTCTTGGTCAGGAGAGGTAACCTTCTTTTGAACTTTACCACCGAGCATGTATGGGTTACTGGCTTGTTTTCTTAATCTCTCTTCTTTTTGTCTTTGGATATCCTCTTTAGAGAATACAGCTTGACCCTTAGAGTTAAAGGTAATAGCAGAATGACCAGAGTGAGATGATGAAGTTTCATCCTCATCGTCATAATCTTGGTATCTCTTGGTATTGGATGGATTAGAGAAAATATCATCTTCATCATCTTCATCACCCATTGGTTCTTGAAGTCTTGAATCGTTAATCCATTCATCTAAATCCAAACCATCTGGAACTGGTACTTTCTTTTGAGCTTTTGGACCAACTGGATTAAGTTGTTCGGCAAAGAGTGAAATGAGTTCTTTAGCGATATTATTTCCTTGATCTTTGGTGGCACTATAGAATTTAAGAATTTCATTAACAAGACAAGCACGTTCTTGTACATTAAGATAAATACTATGTGTGAAAATTGAAATTCTTGATTTAATTATTTCAAGACATTCATCAACTGTTTCTAGAGAAACATCACCATATTCCTCTTCATCCTCTTCTTCGTCTTCATCATGAACGATTGTTGGAATTGGTTCACCGTTGGCTTTAGCACAAGCATTTGAAAAAACTTTAAGAGCGTTTAACATGTAAACTGATTGAATATGAGATGGAAGAATACAAACACGTGGTTGGAGGAAGGCTTCCAAAGCATCAATTGGACGATTAAGATAACCGGAAAACTCACCGACAATCCAAGCGGCAGCATATAAAACTTCACACATACCACCTTCGGTTGGGTTTGACATTAATTTTGGATTCTTTAAGAGCTCGATCATTTGTTTGGTACAATAGGCTCTGACAACTTTAACACGAATTACAACATCTAATAATTGTGAAGCAATAAGTTTACCATGAATAGAATCTTGAATTTGTGAAAGTTTTACCAAAATGTTGATATACCATTCAAAATCTGAAATGTATTGGTATGGACCTGCTGAACAAAGTTCGATAATCTTCTCAACAAGTTGATCTTTGTAACTACCTTCGGCAGCTTCCAAATGATTTAAGAGTTTGAGAACGATATCGGCGATATTCTTTTTGTTAGTCATACCTGAAGTTAAATCCAAAGCTCTTGAACGAATTGAAACATCATCATCTTCGAGGCATTGTAAAACCAACTCTCTGTGTTCGGCAACTGCTTTTGGATGAATCTTCATAATATTATTGAGAGCCAATAAACCAAGATACTTTAAGTTTTGATCGTGATGTTCGATAAGAGTTCTTAATTTGGTAATACAAAGTTTCATTAATGGAATATGATCAGAGATACCAGTGATACAGGTTTGAATACATTCATATAATAATGAAACTGATGGTGATGAATTGATAATATTTGTGAGTGGGTCAATTAATTTCTTTGCTAAACGTGGTTCGTATGGAGTTAATGATGCAAAGAGTTTAACGATTTTAATGAGCATCCAATAGTTTGTAGTTGAAGTATTTGTAAGAATTCTAAATAATACTGGTGCTAAAGGTAAATAGTTCTTTGGGTTTCTTCTAGCCAATTCGCAAATGACATTAATTGAACAAGAGACAACAGATGGTTCTGGGTCATCTAACTTTTCACGGAGTTTTGGAAAAGCTGGACGAAGTGCCTCTGGGTATCTAAGGAAAATCTTGTAGAGTACAGTAATGGCTCTCTTTAAAATATGAGTCTTTTGGGTGCTTAACAATGTTAAAAT